TTTTATAAATTTATATGTTTCTCACTCGTTTAAAAAGTTTATTAGTCTAGGTTCCTACATATTTTTTTTTCCTACACACTTGAAGGGAATGCTGGTCTGAATTAGAATATTTCATCTTATAATAGAATATTACATCATATTACAATCTTTCAGATTATTACACATTAACATTATAAACTTTTCTTTTCTATAAATCTTTTTTTTCTAGACTATTCTATATATTCCTATAACGCTATAAATTGTAAATTTAGACTATTACATATAATATTAGAATCTTACATAATGTAAGTTAATTAAGAAATATTCTACATATAACTTATAAGAGTATAAAAAGCCTAGTTTTAACTAAAAAATATTCTATTAGAATACTCTACATATAACTTAAAATATCCGATAACTTAAAATATCCGAGAACCTTATTCTATTATAATATTCTACATATAACTTTTGAATAGCGATCATATACAATATTATTATATTAGAATATTTTATATATACACATTATTTACATGTAGTAAATAAATTTATTCAATTAAAAAATATAGAACATTATTATATTAGAATATGTTATGTGCTACATATAACTTAGAATATTCTAGAAATTCTACAGAAGTATAAAAGAACCTAATTTTAATTAAGAAATATTCAATTAAAATACTCTACATATAACTTCAAATATCCGAGAACATTATTCTATCGTAATATTCTACATATAACTTTTGGAAAGAGATCATATACAATATTATTATATTAGAATTCTATATATAAACATTATTTTCATATAATAAATCACCTTATTCAATTGAAAACGTAGAACATTATTCTATTAGAATATTCTACATATAACTTCGAATATTCTAGAAATTCAATAAAAGTATAAAAAAAACTAATTTTAATCAATGAATATTCTATTAGAATATTCTATATATAACTTAAAATATCCGAGAACATTATTCTATCATAATATTCTGCATATAACTTTTGAAAATATGTCATATACAATATTATTATATTAAAGTATTTTATATGTTACATGTAGTAAATCAACTTATTCAATAGAAAACGTAGAACATTATTTTATTAGGATATTGTATATATAACTTAGAATATCCTAGAACATTATTCTATAATCGTATCTAAAAGCCTAATTTTAATAGAATGTTATACATATATAAACTCATGTAATATGAGAAAGATGTTACTTGACATTACATGACATAAACTAAAACATTACAAGTATTATTCTTGTAAATACATAATTGAATATCAACATTATACATCATATATTCTAAAATTACAACTATAATGTCATATGTAATTGTTCATATTCTGTTGACGCGTTTTGATCGGATGACGAGCTATCAGATGAAGTATTATGAAGTATGTTTTTTTTTGTCTTTATCTATTTCCAATGATAGAAATTGTTCAACATTCTTTCCTTTAGGATCAAAAGATCATTTTCCCTTGATTTAGTAGTTTCTTCATTTCAACTGTATCAAAACATAAACCATACTATTATTAAAACAATAAAGCTATGATATAAACAATCAATTTATTATACGAGAATATTCTAACATTCTGCAAATAATTAACAATATTAAAATTGTTTCATAAATAATTTACAATTAGAGAATTTTATTTTATTTTCACATTAAATTTTACACAAATCTAATATAATCAAGGTATTATTCAGAATACACAAAACATAATTTGAGATAAGATAACAAAAAAACATAATTGTCCACATGTTACTAACTCCAAATAAAGTTTATGTTCATTTAATTTCGATTAGTAATATGTAGTATAGTTCAAACAAGAGATTTAATATTATATAAAAACCAAAAGATCAGATAACCTAGTCACCTAATTAGACCTTTATGTTAAAAGAGGTAGTTTTAAATTATATGTTATACAATACTATATTACATTACGTCGTCATTTTTTGAGATAACTATACAGTGAAATATCTTGATTATAATATATCTTCGAAGATACAAAGTGATTTTTGACTAAAATTATACTATTATCAAAACACATAGATTTATAGAATATCTCAGAGATGAATATATTAACTCAAAATCACATATAAAGATAAATAAATGATTTTAATACATTGACTCAAAATCACACACAAATATATAACAATCAAGAAATTATAGTATTATACGTTACATGGAATAACTTTGGATGCTAACTCTAAATCTGATTGTGTAGAATAAACCATTTGTTGGAATAAAAAGCTTCAGTTTCTTTTATTTAGGAATATTTGACGATCCATAACTTGATCTAGTTTCATAATCAAAATCACAATATTGAAAATCCAAATGAGAAGGAATAAGAAATTGTGTTAAATCAGAATGCGTAGAATATTTATGTATTAACCTTATATAAATGAATGTGTAACGCATTATCTATTTTTTTTAATTAATCAACAAAATATCATTAGAACTCAAATTTTACTAATCATAATACTTAGAATATTACATATTTTACATCAGAATATGACACATAATTCCATAATATATCATATTCCTTCATTGTTAATCAAGTATTATCACAATACTTTACAAAAAGGTTCAAAGCAGAGTTGTTTCCAACAAAAGAAGAATGTGTAAAATAAGATATTACACATTATTCAACAAAAAAATTCAAAACAAGTTGTTTCCAAAAAAATCATAATGTTTAAAATCGTAATATGACACATAATTTCATAATATTTCACATTAACTCATCATAAAAGGTTTAAAGAAATTAGTTTCTAACAAAATAACATCTATATAAAAAAAATCAAGATCTAACTTATAAACTAAGAATATGTATAATATCAAGTTATTAGGCACACATTTACTTAACTTCGATTAGTAATATCTAATATAATTAAGACAAAAGATTTAATATTATATAAAATACAAAAGAATAGACCTAATCAGACCTTAGGTTACCAACCACTACCAACCTGAACAAACAATTTCAACTTTAAATGGGTATTAAAAACTAATCATTGCTACAGTAAACAATTTCAAAAAATATTTAACCGAAACTACAATAAACAAGTTCATTCCCAACTCAAGCTATAGTGAATCTGAATCAAATACAAACTATAGCTACAATAAACATTTTAAGAAAAATAATTCACAATTTAGAATAAACAAAATAAAAACTTCCTGAAGGCTATTGCAAGAGACAATTTATAATCTATATTATCTAGAATATGAATCTAAATGTGATATTGTCGGACTAGAAATACAGAAAGATGAATTCCATTATGTCAAAATAGAATAACAAATCCTTAGATTCTCAAAACGTATTATAGTCAGAAGCATAAAACCAATATACTCCATTACAGAGTATCTTAAACTAAAAACCATAATTTCATCAAAACATAATACTAATCTATCAAACCCTAGTTAGCTAATGCAATGTTAGATTATGTGATTAATCAACAAATTAACACAAAAAGTTAAAGAAACTATTAATCGAAGAGTCATTTCATATACTATTAATATATTCAGAGAATATAAGATCTAATTTATCAAAATCTAAAATCACAAAACCGATAATAGAGGTCATTTTCCCATTTGAAGAGGTTTTTGTGTTTGAAACAACCACGATCGATGTTTGATCTGAATAAATCGATGTATTGAAGAAATAAATCTCGTCAATTAGGGATGCGACTATGGATTTTCATTGAATTGATACAGAACCAAAACATAGGTTTTTTGTTGCTAGTTCTCATTGATGGGGCAGATTTCTAGGGTTTTGTGGAATAAGATTGAGAAGATTTAGGTTGATTTCATATTCTAAGGAATTATGCTTGAGAAAAATCCAGATAAAGAAAAGTTTATGGGAGAAAGAAGAAGCAAATCACGACTGTGAAGAAAAGAATCAGCTCTCATATGATTTGAGTGCAAAATGACAGAGGTATCCCTCCTGGTCCATAGTTAATCACAACTAGGGATGAGCAATAGGACCGGGTAACCGACCGGAACCGGTCCCGGAACCGGCACCCGATGGAACCGGTCGGGCCGGGACCTATACTACAAATTTGTGATTATTTGGAACCGGGACCCGGAAAGAACCGGCTATTGGAACCGGCCCAAAACCGGGAACCGGCCCGGATAGAAAACCATGTCACATTGTCACGTAGGGATGACTTGATGAGCACGATCGAATCAGCTGCTGCTTGCGATACACACAAACAAAAAAGACTTCTTCCTCCCATATACTCTCAAATCGCAATCGGTCATTCTCATAACAAAAAAAAAAAAAAAAAAAAAAAAAAAAAAAAAAAAAACGCAATCGTTCTTGGCTTCTTGTGGGATTCCCACCTCCTGCCGGCTGCCACGATCCCAAGTCCCAACTCCAAGTTCACGAATCACGATCGAACCCTACTCTCTTCAACAATCCGCAATCAGCATCACTTCATCATCATTCAATTGATCAATTCTTCATCTCCAAGTTTCCATCGATTACAAGTTTCAATCGATTTTCAATTCTTTATCATCATTCATTGATTTTCATCTTCAATTGCTTCAATGATTCAAACTATGGATGTTCATGAAGATCAAGTAAGAGCATATATTTATATTTCATGTTTTAAGATTATATACTTCAATATTAGCTTCAAATCTTCAATGCTTCAATGATTCACCAAATAATGGCATGCATGCAAGTTTTTTTCTTTGGTTTTGTTGTCTCCATTCCAAATATATGCATTGTTATCCCTACTTAATTAAAAGATCTTGATTCTTGATCATAGTCTCATAGTGGAGTACTTCATATACGGATGAAAGGTTGTACATATAATAGATGTTTCATGTTTTAAGCTCCATTTAACAATGTACTTTGTAGACATACATGCAAATTTTTTGTTAGATTAGTTTATTGTTTATAATATGAATGTAATTATGTAAGATTGTCAAAACTACGAATTTGTATAGTACTTTTGTTATATAATTAATGTGTAAAATTGACATTGTAGGATTTGGATGGGCTACCAAATGTACCATCATCAAGATAACGAAACTCGGATGCTCATGATGCCAATATTGAAGACGGTAATCCGGCTAATTGGATTGGAAAAGACTTTGATGACCAAGTAAGATTAGTATTTAGCTCATTAGCAATATTTATTTCTTTAGCACTCTGTCCAAATATTAAATTGTGCATAACTAGTTCAATTTAACTTCTTTTAACCTGAATCTTTTTCCTACATGTAGATTAGGATTTGTAGTTGAGTTTACACTATAAAAACGCTTGATTTGGTTAAAAATTGAATGAGTTACAAGCCCTGCAAGGAAGGGTGTCAAATCTGAATTTTTTTTTGTAACAGCAATAAAACGTGATGTGATTTTGTTGTTCAAATGTGCATAACTCATTCAATTTAACTTGTTTTGACCTGAATCTTTTTCCTACATGTAGATTAGGATTTTTAGTTGAATTTAGACTATAAAAACGCTTGATTTGGTTAAAAATTGAATGAGTTACAAGCCCCGCAAGGAAGAGTGTCAAATCTGAATTTTTTTTTTGTAACAGCAATAAAACGTGATGTGATTTTGTTGTTCAAATGTGCATAACTCATTCAATTTAACTTGTTTTGATCTGAAGCTTTTTCCTACATGTATATTAGGATTTTTAGTTGAATTTAGACTATAAAAACGCTTGATTTGGTTAAAAACTGAATGAGTTACAAGCCCCGCAAGGAAGGGTATTGAATCTGAATTTTTTTTCTAACAGCAATAAAACGTGATGTGATTTTGTTGTTCAAATATGCATAACTCATTCAATTTAACTTGTTTTGACCTGAATCTTTTTCCTACATGTAGATTAGGATTTTTAGTTGAGTTTACACTATAAAAACTCTTGATTTGGTTAACAATTGAATGAGTTACAAGCCCAGCAAGGAAGGGTGTCAAATCTGATTTTTTTTATATTTATTTTTCAGCATTTAAACATAATATGACTTATTATATGTTTTATTTTGTGAATATAGGATTATGGAGACGATTCAGAAGAAGATTATATAGAAGAAACACCGGCATTGAATGTTATACCAAGTGATGAATCAAACCAAGAAGAGGAGCCACAAGAACAACTAGCCCTGTCAAAAATACCCGTTACCCGAATTACCCTTGTTCTCACTTCGCAGTCCACTCGTCATCGTTCGTCACCGGTCAATCAGCTTCAGGCGAGTCGCCGGTCATCAGTCGGTCGCTGCCTCGCCGGGTCATTGGGTATTCAGGTGCACTTCCGATACAGTACTTGGCTTTAGCTAGTCGTCCTTCTGTCTATACATTTTGCTAATTTTCCCCTGTTTTGTCTATACATTTTTCTATGTATACAATACATGTTTTGCAAATTTTCATATATTATCGTTGGATAATTGCTACTGTTTTTCTCAATTTGGATGATAATTGCTACTGTTTTTCATATATTATCGTTGGATAATTGCTACTGTTTTGCAAACTTTGAATTGAATACTCACAATAATTAATATGAAACAATCGATTAATCATTTCTTTTATGTATGAGGAAAACGAATTAAAAAAACAATATGATAGTCAAAATCTCTTCCTTTTTTTTCATTTGAAGAAGCACAAAATTAAAAACAAGAGTAATATAAATGATATTATGGTGAGAGAGTAAGAAAGAGGCATAAGTTTAGAACAGTGTCAGATGTTGAAGATGAAGTAATTTAGAAGGTAAGGGTAATATGGTCCATTTATTTTGTTTTTTAATTTTAATGATTTTAAATTATGAAAATAAATATAAAATACAAAAAAAAATTGTCAAAAGGACACTAGAGCAAGTTAAATATACACTAACAGAGAGCTAAGGTATTTGTTATTCTAGAAATGATTATTTACAGTTTGTTTCTATTCTTATTTACAGTTTGCTGTCAAAAGTTATTTACAGTTTGTTTCTATTATTTGTTATTGTAGATTCTCATTCGACTTTATTGTTAATTAGTGTTTTAACTCATTGGTAATTAATTAGTGATTGTCATGCCATATTGTTTTATAAATGCCTGTTATATAATTATGCTTTGTTGTTTTATAATTCATAGTTTGTCATGTTATTATCGCATAGACACAATCCCGGAACACTAGCTAGTTTGTCATGTTTCTATTCTTATTTACAGTTTGCTGTCAAAGGTAAGGGTAGTATGGTCCATTTTTATGTTTTTTAACAGTTTTTTTTTTTTTTTAGATGTCAAATACGGATGACTATATTGAAGTGGAAGATGAGACCATTGAAGTTGAAAACCCAACCAATGATCAAGTTCCACAAGAAAAACAGAAAAAAACTAAAGAATTCAACCCACGATCGAAAGTTTGGAAAGAATTTGAAAGGTATAAGGATGAAAATGGTGTACAAAGATGTAAATGCAAGCATTGTGGTGGTGGGAATTACAAGTGCGAATCAAGTGGTTATGGGACAAAAAATCTAGGTTATCATTTAACGAAATGTAAAGCTTACTTGGATAAACTTAGTGGTGGGCAAAAACAACTAATTTTTCAATATGGTGATGAAAACAAATTGTCAACTTGGAAATTTGATCAAAATGAGAGTCGTAAGGCTCTAGCCCACATGTTGGTAGTTGATGAACTTCCTTTTAGCTTTGTAGAAGGTGCGGGTTTTAGGTATTACAATAGTGTTAATCAACCATTGTTTAAAGTTCCATGTCGAAGTACAAGCACAACGGATGTCTACCAATTGTTTGTAGATGAAAAAGAAAAAATTCGTGACTTTATTAAAAAAAACGTTGGTAGAATATGTTTGACCACCGATACGTGGACTTCTAAACAACAATCATGTTATATGTGTCTCACCGCCCACTTTATTGATAACGAATGGAAGTTGAAAAAAAAAGTTTTGTGTTTTTCTTCTCAAGAGAGTCACCGTGGGGTTGATATTGGAAAAATGGTTGAGAAATGTTTAATGGAGTGAGAAATAGAAAATATTTTCACAATTTCTGTTGACAATGCAAGTGCGAATGATGTGGCAATTGACTTCTTGAAAAAAAGTTTTCAAAACTCCAACACGTGTCTTCTAAATGGGAAATGGATGCATATTCGATGTGTTGCCCACATTTTAAATTTAGTGGTGCAAGATGGCATAAAAAAAGTTGATAAGGCGGTTGAGATAGTTCGATGGGCGGTTAAATGGATTAGGCAATCGCCTTCTAGAATTCATAAGTTTACCGATTTTGCTAAGGTTGCTAATCCCGGTATAACAAAACACTTGAAGAGAGATGTGCCAACAAGATGGAACTCTACTTACCATATGTTGGAAATTTCACAAGCTTACGAAAAAACTTTTGAGAGATATGATCTTGAGGAATTTGATTTTCGGTACGAAATTGAAAAGGCCGGTTTGTCGATACCTTCATCAAGCGATTGGGAAAGGGTTAGGAATATATGTCATTTTTTAAAACCTTTTCATGATGTTACTTTGAGGATTTCCGGGACACTTTATGTGACATCAAACACGTGCATTGAAGATATATATTCCATTCGTACGCTCTTGGATGATGCTATTTCTGATTCCACTCTTTGTGATATTGCATTGGCCATGAAAAAAAAGTTTGATAAGTATTTTGGCGATGTAGAAAAAATGAATTTATTGCTCTACTTTGCATTGATTCTTGATCCAAGGAACAAAGTAAAGTATTTGGTTATACTACTTGAGGATCGTTATGGAGAAAATGGGGTGGAGGCCAAAAAGAAATATATCATGGATTCTATGTATGAATTATATAATGATTATATTAGAATTCATTCTCCAATTTCTACTTCAAGTACTGCCGAGTCTACCACTTCATCATCAATATTAGGGAAACACCAAAACCCGGATTTTATGGCACCTAACCCCCCATTGAGAAATAAACTAAGAGAAAAGATGAAGACGAACATAGTTGAATCAATTGGGGAGTTAGAAAAGTATTTGCAAGAAAGTGTTGAAGACGACTTGGAAATGTTTAATATTCTAGATTGGTGGAAAGTGAATAGTCCAAGATTTCCAATTCTATCATTGATGGCAAGAGATGTGTTCGCCATTCCCGTCTCAACGGTGGCTTCAGAATCCGTTTTTAGCACTAGTGGAAGGGTTTTGGATCCGTTTAGGAGTTCTTTGACTCCTAAGATTGTTGAAAGTTTAATTTGTACACAAGATTGGATTCGGGGTAGCATAAGTGACACAATCGATTATGAAAAAGATTGGGAAGAAAATCAACAAATTGACAAAGGTAATTGTTTATTATCTTAATGATTGTAAATTTAATATCTTTTCCTTTTAATACTAACATTATTTAATGTTTTTTATATAGATTTGAGCAAGATGGTGTAGTGAAGGTGCAAGAAGAACGAGTATATTTTTGAATGTCTTTTGGAACTTGACATGTTATTATTTTCATAATATGTAATGGTTTTCTATGTTTTGTAGATTTAAGACTTATGAGTTTTTTGGTAAATGCAAAATACATGCATATACATTGTTATGATGTTATCAAGTAATTTAAATGGTTGACTTTGGTTATTATTATTTCATCAAAATGCGTTCATGTATACTTTTATTTATCGTTCGGTTTTGGCGTATTTATAGTGTTTTAATTTACAAATCTTCCATCTAAAACAACGAGTAATAAATCTAGTCTATATATTAAACTCTTTTTTTATTCTATTATGAGATTCAACATTTAAACTAAGATTTTTAAGTATTTATTTTTTTAACATCTTATTAGATTAGATTAAAATTGTTAAGCCTTGATATTTCAAGTATTATTGATTAAATAACATCAATGTTCAAAGTTTCAACACGACATATTTCTTTTTAGATGCCATTTAAAATTTATTTAAAAAAAAAAAAAAAAAAAATCGAGTAATACCCGAATTACCCAAACCCGACCCACTACCCGAATTACCCAAACCCGAATTACCCGAATTTAGTTTGGGTAGGGTAACGGGTAATTTTTCTAACATGAAAAACCCGAATTACCCGACCCGAATTACCCGAAACCCGAAAAAATTACCCGTTCAACACCCCTAAGAACAACAACCTTCAAAAAAACGAAAATTTGCAACCACACAAAAACAAAGACAACCAAAAAAACCAACACAAACAAAAAAACCACCACCACCACAAAAACGAACACAAGAAAAATACCCAACAAAACCAAAACCCAAAAACAAAAAAAAGACTCAAAAGGAGTTAAGGGACCGGATTAACCCACCCAGACGAGGTGAGTGTAGAGATAATTGTACCGCTCCTGTTTGGAAATACTTCGAGATCGAATGGATAAAGGAGGACGATGGAATTGAAAGAAAGTGGGCCGAATGTAATTATTGTTTACATTTACTAGCCACAGATCCAAACCGGAATGGTACAACTTCAATAAACAAGCATTTTAATGGGTGCAAGTTAAATCCAGACAACATACCGAAACAAGTTGATGACAAACAACAAAAGTTGTCATTTACGAAAGCTCCTAATGGTGAGGGTCATGTATACACATGGAAACATGATGATACTAGGATCCAAATTGCCTTGCTAGGGCTTTTCACCATCGGGGAACTACCATTTAAATTCATTGAAAATGAGGCATTCATAGAATTTGTAAACGCCCTCAATGGTAGGGTGAAATTGCTTTCAAGGCATAAATTTTCTCGTGATGTTGTGTCATTCTATTTAATGGAGAGGCCGAAGTTGTACAAACATTTGAGCAACCCCAAAACAGCCATCCACTTGACAACCGACACGTGGACATCCTCGGGTCAAAAGATAAATTATATGGTTGTCACGGCCCACTTCATTACCGAAGATTTTGTCATGCACAAAAGGGTAGTCAACTTTAGAGAGGTTGATACTCACAAAGCTGAAGACATGGCCCGGGAGTTGCTAATTTGCATAAACGAGTGGGGGATGAAGAATGTCATGACGATGACCGTTGATAATGCCAAGACAAATGACGCGGCAATCAACATCATTGTGAAAGAACTACCGGGTATTTACGAGAATGGCAAACATTTTCACATTAGGTGTATGGCTCATATCATAAACCTAGTTGTGAAAATGGGGTTGAAACACGAAGTTTATCATGTAAAAAACCTACAAGATGCAGTGAAATACATTAGAGCCTCCCCGCAACGGATCAAGACGTTTAAACAAGCCATGAAGGATGCGGCTGTAGAAAGTCGAAGGTTTTTGTGTGGTGAAACTCCAACAAGGTGGAACTCTACCTTTGAATTGCTAAGATCAGCGTACGATGTGAAAGACGCATTTCTCAAATATAGCCATCAAGGTAAATAAAATCAATTAATCAAATATATTTCAGCACTAAAATTAGCAATATTTATTTCTTTAGCAATCAGTCCAAATATTAAATTGCGCATAACTAGTTCAATTTAACTTGTTTTGACCTGAATCTTTTTCCTACATGTAGATTAGGATTTGTAGTTGAGTTTAGACTATAAAAACACTTCATTTGGTTAAAAATTGAATGAGTTACAAGCCCCACAAGGAAGGGTGTCAAATCTGATTTTTTTTTTTCTAATAGCAATAAAACGTGATGTGCTTTTGTTGTTCAAATGTGCATAACTCATTCAATTTAACTTGTTTTGACCTGAATCTTTTTCCTACATGTAGATTAGGATTAGTAGTTGAATTTAGACTATAAAAACTCTTGATTTTGTTAAAAATTGAATGAGTTACAAGCCCCGCAAGGAAGGGTGTCAAATCTGTTTTTTTTTTTTTTTTTCTAACAACAATAAAACGTAATCTGATTTTGTTGTTCTTTTTTTTGTAGATCCACTGTTTCAGAAAACTGTGGGAAGGGTACCATCACATTCAGATTTTGAGATGATTAAAAAGATGATGGAGTTCCTTGAGAAGTTTAAGAAGAAAACTGAAAAAGTTTCGTGTTCAACAAAGCCTATCTTCCATACGTATACCCGGGAGATTCTAGATATAGAGCAACATCTTAGGAAACTTGAAACCAACCCGGATTTTATGTTTATGGTACCGGATATGAAAGATAAATATGACAAATATTGGGGTGACTATGATACTATAAGTGATTATGTCTTCTTTGCGACATTGTTAGATCCTCAATGCAAGTCAAAGTTTATGAAAGTTGTTTTTACCCAAATGCTTAAAGCCGAAAACAAAGATAAAAAGATGTCTGCTGATGAGATAGAATCCAAATCACGTGCAAAGGTTATTGATATTGAATGCAAATTGGACAAGTTTTTCAAGACATACTTGGAAAGGTCAAACATGACCTCATCGTCTCAACAAGAAACTCCCGAAGAAGTTGTTAATTTTGATGACGAAAACGAATTCTTTGGAAGCTATATGACTTCGGGAAGTTTCCCCTCGACTTCGTCAGAAAGTCAATTGCAACGATACTTAAACGAGGACCCAATCGGATTTGACAAAGGATATGATATCCTCACATGGTGGAAAAATAATGCGGTGCGGTTCCCGATCGTTGCTCGAATGGCAAGAGGTATCGACCTTCTTTTACTCTAATTTAAAATTTTAATTTATAAATTTGTGTCGTGTATTATACACTAATTTGTTTATTAATAGATATTTTGGGGATGCAAATTTCCACCGTAGCATCCGAATCAACATTCAGTAATGGTCGTCGAGTAATTACCGACTACCGTACTAATTTGTCCGTTGTGATTGTGGAGGCATTGATATGCACTCAAGATTGGCTAAGAAAGAGTAGCTTGCCTATATATGACTACGACGAAGTGCACGATGTGTTAGCTGACGATGACCTCGCTATCGGTAATACACTAATACTTGTTACATCTTATTTTTAACTTCTTATTAGTATTTGTTACATTTTAGTAAGTAATAACGTTTTTCCTTTGAATTATATATAGACATTGTGGATGCTATACACAACTTGAAGCTAACGGGGAAGAGATCGGGAAATTAGTCAAAATATCAAAGAAATGTTGGAATCCACATATTAGACTTTTTTTTTGTTGGTGAAACTTGGAAGTATATTTTGAATGTCGAAAGTGTATTTTGAATGTTGAATGTTTGAATGTTGGATACTTAATAATATAACTTTGACGACATCCATGTTTAATTTGCTTGTAATAATTTAAATAAAAGACTCATGGTTAATTTGCTTCAATGTTGAATCGTTTATTAAAATGTTGCTTATTTACTAGTATTTAAACATCCACTTCTTCATAAAAAACCAATAAAACGCAAAGTAAATTAGTCGTTGGAATTACTCGAAAAACCGGCAAAAATCGGACCCGAAAAACCAATAAAACGCAAAGTAATTTAGTCGTTGGGTACATCAAAATTTAGCCGGTTCCATACTCGAAAAAACGGCAAAAACCGGACCCGGAACCGGAACCGGTATAACCGGAACCGGTAGAACCGCCGGGCCGGTTCGGTTCTTCATTTTTGCCGAATCCGGTTCCCCGGTCCGGTTCGGTTCGGGCCGGTTCCGGCCGGTTCGGTTCTTTTGCTCATCCCTAATCACGACCTTTGACGTATTTTCAAAATTGTCACCGTCTACTTTTTATAGTGTTTTTATGTTTTATTCCTAGCCACTAATTATTTGAGATGAGTGATCAAGATTTGGTCCCTTTGTTTGATAAAATTCATTTGTCTCACATGAATCTAACCCTATATATATATATATATATATATATATATATATATATATATATATATATATATATATATATATATATATATATATATATATATATATATATATATATATAATAAACATAAATTTAACTATTATAATTAAAATAATATTTTTTTAAATAAAATAAGATAAATCTTCGTACCAAATCTATAAATCATCAACTACAAACAGATTTGATTGAAAAGATTGGGAACTAATTTGGGGAGAAGAAAATAAGCATTAATATTGTAAGATTCGTTTTGTAATTCATGTTTTTTGTAGCATCTTAATATTTAAATAATTAATAAAGTAAAATAAATTTAATGTTTATTATTTTTTTGTTATACTATTTTAATTATAATAATTAAATATATGTTTATTATATATATATATATATATATATATATATATATATATATATATATATATATATATATATACTATAATAAATGAAGGTTTTTTTACCACATGTTATCTTCTTATTCATTTGGACACATGATATTTTCTAAAATTTTTAAATTTTCTATTTTCCACTTATCATTTTATTGTAATTTTCATTTTATTAAATTAAAATTCCACATTTAATGTGTAAGGTAATATATATGTAAAGTATTTATTAGAAAAAGTTTATATATGTAATGTATTCAATACATTAAAGTCTCATTAATTTTAATAATTTAAATTTTTCTCATTTTTCTTATAAATTCAAACTTTTCAAATTGTTAAAATTTTATATTTATTTTTTTAATTAAACTCATGTAATACATGGATCTCACACCTAATATAGTAATAGTTGATGTAGCAGTAGGGACCATTTTTGAAAGATGAATGTTATTGCACTGATGTAAGTAATCATTGCAAAGCTAATGTATCACAATTGAAAGTTTAATGGCATTGCACCGATATGGATGGCCGAGTTCCTTTTTTTAATAAGAAACTCAGAATAGCTTGTGTTTTTCTGCATTTCACTTTGCTTAAATTAATCCCATAATATATTTTTTGCATAGCCCCATTTAACCCTGTAATTAACAAGGACATTAACTGATACATGTAGCATAAGCTGGTGGTATACACTATAGCAGCATGTTGATCAGATTCACATATTGTTGGTTGGAAACATGCATAAAAGAAGCAGATCTGCATTCTAAAAATGGCTCTTACATATGATGAAAATTTTGTAAGCTTTAATTGATATTATAATACAGAATATGAAAGCTAAAGAATATTGAAAACCCAACCAACCATCTATAATCTACTACCTGACCTCATCACAACTTCAGTTGATACCTAGTGATACAATATCATCAGTATATACCATCCCCAATGAATGGTAACATCATTAATATTTGGGCATATGAGTTGACTTGGGTGGAAGAAAAAGAATGAATGGTAGGAGTAGGAGATGCGAGATTAGAAGATATACACAAACAAGAAACAAGACGCAAGGCACAACTACATAGCACGTGGTAGTGCATACATACATTTACATTTACATCTACATCTACATTTACATTATTTATCTATCCTGAGATTATTACAAAGATGACCAAGTTCAGGTCTCCCTGCCATCCAGCTCGTGAATTCCATCTCTGTGCCAGTGCCAGTGCAATACAGATACGATCTAAACATTATCAGTAGAAAGTAACGCCTGCACAACAACATAAATACTTACCATTTAAGTATATGTTCTGACTCATGAAAGAAACTAGGCAGTTGTTTCTTTTTTACTTGATCTCGAAAGAATGACTTAATACGGTGAGGCAACAATCCTGACTTAATGCATTAAGACACTAACACTTTACCTATTTGTCCCTTTTTTCATCCCAATTCCCCTCGTGTTATAATTGATGAATATTGTTAAAACTCATAAATATTGTGAAATTTGTATTTTGGAATGTAGGATAAAAAGGTTATTTAGTCAGTCATTAAGACAGTTTATTCAGTCTAGAAAAGAAACACAACTTATGTATACAATACTTTATCCAGACACACACCATCACCCGTTCAGTCAATTTACCCACACATACATGAGTTAATGAGGAAAAAACAAACCCTAGATGTCTATAACATAAGCAAGCTTTAAAAAACTACAAAGAAAGCAGATTCATTCTCATATAAAAATTTACAACCAACCTCAATGCTTTGATACCCATGTCCATGATGTATGCTTGATGATCATCATCATCCCCTTGAACCTTCTCAAGTTCCTTACTATAGAACAGAATGTCATCTCTAAGATGCCCAGCTCCAGCACACCTTTATAACAACAGAAAATATTACTTATCAAATACATTAGCTTTTTTGGCATCTTTATCCAAAAAAGTGCAGCATACCTCTCTATAACAACATCGACATCTGATTTACTCTCAGGACCATGAACAAGAACTCTAGTAAGACTAAGTATATCGCGATAATCACCCTTTTCACGCGCTTCATTAGAAGATAATAAATCTTGATTACCACTTTTTGTTAGTGGTAATGATGCTAACTTCCCTTCAGATTGAAGTCTTAAACATATAATAGCCATGGCATACGCAACACCCCCAAATCCCGTGTGAGAAACAAACAAGTAGCACCCTGCACAACTGCACAACAACCATATATATCATATACTGGGTCAGATACCCATGTATTACAATACAAGGGCTTAATGTATTGTATTAAGTGGATTAAGAAACAGACACTTACTTGTCCATACAGTACTGAATAGCATCAACATCAGAAGCTAAAGCTTCCCTCTCTCTAGTCAAAGGTATCCTTGTGTAAACTATATCATATCCATCATCTCTCAAACCAGAATACACTTCAGTAGGTGTCTTAACATTTTCCACAAATATATTCTCCCAATATCCTACTACATTTGCCTGATTTAATGATGGGTTATATTCTTCACGGTGTAAAAGCATTCTGCCACCACATTTTTTAATTTCTGATATAATATCCTCCTTTAAGCGAGCCTCCATGTGTTCCACCACTGATCCAGTGATACCCACATGCTTGAGTGTGTCTACAGGTTTATTTAATTCCCTAAGAACAAAAGGCGTCCCATTTATGTAAACAACAGCTTCTTCACGCAAGTCAGTTAACATCACTTTTTGTGGACCTAAATAAGTTAGCATCTCTTTGGCACCTGAAATTGTTGGAGTTGCCATGCAATACACAGGATACCCATCCACCTGAATAAAACAAAATAAGATAAAAAAATTTACATTTAACTTCTCCAATTTCTTTGTTGGTTCAACACATTTTTAAGGGCTTTTCTTTTTGACTTAAAGAGTTAAAGCACTTAATCTGCACTGTGTACAGCTAAATATGACTTTCTTTTTTACTTGATGAGCCTAATAGGCTAAGCAGTTAATCTGAAATGCTATACATAATTGTTTCTTTTTTACTTAATCTGGACAGAATGACTTACAGAGTCAAGCTAAAAAAGCCTGCCTTAATGTATTAAGACATTAACCCTTTACCTATTTGTCCTTAGTCTTCTTTCATCTCAGCTCCTCTCATGTTAAAATTGATGAATATTGTTAAAAATTATTAAAATTTGTGAGTTTTGTTTTTGGAATGTAAGGGTAAAATGGTCATTTAGTCTCATTTAGACAGTTTATTCAGTCCAACAAATATACAGACCTTTTGTATACAGTACTTTATCCACACAAACATCATTACTCATTCAGTCATTTTAACAATAACCCTTCACCTATATACCCTTTTTTTCCTAACAACTCTCATTTTAAAAATGATGAATATTGTGATTTTATTTAAATATAAGAATAAAATGGTCATTTAGTTACGCTAAGGCAGTTTATTCAGTCTAGAAAAGAAACAAACCTTATGTATCAACACTTAATCAAGACAGACATGATTACCAATTCAGCCACTCAAAAGAGAGATTTTTCAAGAAAATGAAACAGCCACTTAGTTTACCTTGAAAACATGTGGAGCACCATGGATTTGTATATGACTAGAAGTTCTTTGACCAGGAAAAAAGTACATCTTTAATATCGACCCCTTCCCTAAAACAGAGCCGTTACGTTTTTTAACAATGGCCTCCATTACCGCATCACCATGTTGAGATTCTTGTGGAGCTCTCAACTCTTCCTACAAACCAAAACACATACAGGTGAGAGTGAGAAAAATAAATAAATATTTTATGAAAATGAAATTTGGAGAAAATATACAGGAACACTAAAGAAGCGTCCGGGTCTCAATCTTATTGACCATTTCATAGCTTGGACTTCCGGTCTTTGATGCAACCAACTTTTGAAGGTGATTTTACATTCCTGCCCTTGCCCTTGTTCATCAAATGCTTCACTTCCAAGATACGCTGCAAAAGCAATTAACCGAAAATAACGTTCCAAATACTCGGCCCCACGGTTCAATGCCACCCGCCTTTCGCGTGGCTCGACATGCTGTTGATTAAATAATTTTCTATACTGCAGTACAGCCTGGCGTATATTTTGCAA